GGAGCCCCCACCCAGTCTGGGCTCCCGCTGCACCCCAGGTCCCTCCAACTCATGTCCGAGGCCTGTGTGTCCAGCTGGCCACGTTGCACGCAGTGCTGGTGCACGGGGTGTGCGGGGGCGCCTGTGGAACGGCCCCGACCCTGTGGCCCAGCGCCTCCAGAGCTGAGGGTGGCGCTGCGTCCCCCCCAGGGTCTTGTCCGCTGGGGAGACGCCCGCAGGGCCACCTGCTTCCAGACTGGTCTTCCCAGGTGATGGTTTCGCTCGTTGATCACAAAGGAGCTTGAGTCGTTTAAAGCCACACGCACACGCTGTGGAGACGGGGTGGGTTCTGCCTCTTCGCCTCCCCAACCTGGAGTCCGCACTCCTGGTCCCGCCTCCGGGAGCTGCCCCAGCTCCGCAGTCCCAGCACCACACGCTGGTTATGCCCGCACGTGTGCCGCACCAGCACCGCTGGGGTGAGCCTGAGGTCGGGCGGGGCGGTGAAGGATTAGAAAAGACGGACAAGAGAGTATGCTGGGGCCGGGTGGGACGCTGCCCCCTCGGATGGAGAGACAGCGCCAGCGCCCACCCGCCGTGTCCTTATTTTATAGCAGATGCCACGAGGCAAAGCGAGGGCGTGGTCCAGAGGGTACAACATTCTCGGGATTTCGATCCCACTCAACCACGTGCACCTGAACTCTATCAAGCCCACACCACTCAGCCACGTGGGAACCCAGGTTCAGACCAGAAGGTCCAGCTCACAACCATAGCCTTTGGCTATCATTGTGCTGGGACCTGCACGTGGCTTTGCCATGAGAGGACCGTGCCCTCTCATCAGCCCCAGGCTTGAACCTGTCCACACACCTCACCTGCACACACACACACACACACACACACACACCTCACATACCTCACCCACACACACACCTCACACACACCTCACATGTATACACATGCACATACCTTACACGCAGACCCTTCACACACGCAAACCTCACATGCACACACGGGTGTGTGCCCACGCCCACCGGCACCCCAGCAGTGTCAGGTGGCGTCCCTCGCTCACAGCCCCGCACACTCGGGACTCAGTGTGGAACTAATCACCGGTCTGTCCCTCCACGGCGCCCACTAGCGTGTGTCCCTGGAGTTTGTCATGTTGTCTGTGCTTTTCAGCAACGTAACCCTAGCCCTCCTCCCACATCATAGCTCTCCTACCTCCACTTCCTCACTCCTTGGAGGCCTCTCTGGAACCTCTGTCGCCCTGTCCTGCCCGCAGCCCCCTGGCTGGGCGCCCTGCCTGCCCTTCAGTGCCTCCTGCTCAGCAGCCCCCGCCCCGCTTCCCCGGATGGGCCCCAGCTGAGGGCTGTCCCTGCCTCCGGTGCTCA